GAGATGAAATCCTTCAGACCTGAGCTGCAGCAGCTGGTCCCTGCCCCGGGGGGGTTCCTGGTCCCTGCCTCGGGAGGCTCCCGCTCCTGCTGGGAAGGTGCCTTCGGCCTCTCTGCCCTGTGAAAGCTCAGTGCACATTGCACACTGTTCAGAGCAGCTGCTGGAACCGGCTCCTGGCATRCCAGGGAGTGGGACCTAGCCCTCCTGCCTGCCCTGCCTGCCCTGCATCCCACAGCGTGTGCCTTACGGATCCCCGAGTCCTGGAATTGCAGGGAGACACCAAAGATATGCAGGGGCAGTGCTGGTCTGGCACCCTGCTGTCCCCTGGAGCGTTTCCCATGGCAGAAGGGACTGAGGGAACTCAGAGCCTCCTACCCAGCGTGGGACTGTGCAGCCTGAGCTGCCCTGTCGCCAAAATGTGGCMTTTCTGGCCCGTCTGCTAACAGCCTCCTGTGTCTCTTCCAGGGAAAATATGAAGAAAGATTCCTGAAAGATGAAACCATCTCCCAGCAGATCAACTCCGTGGAATCCCTCCCGGAGCTGCATCTCTCTCTGGAGGACAAGAAGCCTGAGSAGCTCTTGCAGAGGAAGCTGCGGGTGAGGAGCCGGCCTCCTTCCAAGCCCACCATTGTCCGAGGGGTCACCTACTACAAAGCCCAGTCCTCYGAGTCGGAGAACGACATCGAGGAGCAACGTGAGTTGGGTATGCGGCCACGGCTGGTGGGATGGCCGGCTGCATCCCGCAGCAAAACCAGCGCCTCATCCCTTGGGAATGTGTGGGGGAARTGTGTGGGAGCAGCAGGGGGAGGTGAGACAATGGGTACCTCAGCGTGGTGGAGCAGTGCAGCATTGTTATTCCATGGAAAATCCCTGGTAGCTGAGGAARTAGGTCACTGCTTTGGTTCAGAACAGCATCAACACCTTTCCAGAAGTACATGGAGGTTTATTAAATATGGTTGTGTTTCAAATCTGCCTGCCCCATGGCATCCTGGGAGGTTTGTGGTGTATTTGGTGGAGGGCAGCTCAGAGCTCATGGCCCTGGCTGTGGTGAGAGCAGRGCCCARCAGAGTGGGCAGCAMGGGCAGAAGGACAAATGTCCCCTCTGTGCAAACTGGCTCAGCAGCGAGGCCACCCAGCCCTGCCCTGTGGGGTTTGGGAGCTGCTGGAGGTGAGAAGGAGCCAAGGGTGCCCGTGCTGGCTGGGGATCCCCAGTGATCCCCAATGATCCCCAATGATCCCTGTGCCCTGGCTGAGGCACCTGCTCTGGCATCCCGGGATGGGTGAATGGGATCTGGTTGGGAATGCAGCTGGGTCTCCATGCTGCCCAGTCTCTGGGAGCTGGCAGGGYGGAATCGCTCCCTGTGCTCTTTATCGCCTGTGGCAGTGGATGTGGCTGCGAGGGGCCTCACTCACCTCCTCACACGGGAGCCATCGGCCTCTCCAGCTTTGCCCTTCCCTGAGGGGAAACGGGAGGCAAGGCGGGTGGCTTTAACCGTTCAGCCTGCGGGGTGGCAGGGAGCCGGCCGGACGGGCTGCGGGGATCTGCTCCCCTGGCCCGGGGCTGACACCCGTGCCCGTGTTTGGCAGCGGACGAGCTGTTCAGCGGGGACAACACGGTGGACCTGCTGATCGAGGACCAGCTCCTGCGGCCCAGCAGCCGGGCGGGCGAGGCCGTGAGGAAGCCGTCCCCGCTGGGATGGCCGCCCACCCCCGGCAGCGCTCCCGCCACCCCGCCAGCCACCGGCACAGCCGTGACGGCCACGGTGCCGCTGTCCCCTGCCAYGCCGGACCCCACGGCCGTGAGCCGGCTGACCCCCGCCCCGGAGCCYGTGACTGCCCCGGCCGGGCTGGCGGAGCAGGGGACGCCGCAGCTGCCGGCAGCCTTGGCCAGCACGGTGGTGGCCACAGCCACGGAGAGCCTGCCCACGGCCACCCCTGCAGGGGACTGGAGCCACATGGAGAGCAGCCCGGGAGACTGGGGACAGSTGAACACCCCCGCGACGCCGGTCAGCCCGGCCATCCCTGCCACCCCAAAGGAGGGCCTGGAGGAGGAGGACATCAGGAACATCATCGGTGAGTCCTGCCGGCCCTGCACCYGTCCAGCTGTGTGTGGGGCTGACTTGTGCCCACAGCGTGTCCTGCCGAGCACAGTGCACCTGGAGTTGGTCACGGGTGGGAAGTGTCATGGAGATGGTGGCTGGACAGCACTTGACTGGGGTGCCACGTTTACTTATTAATTCTAGAACCTGAGTAAACTGTAGTTTCCTCCCAACGTTAGGGGCTGGGTTGGGCAAGAAGAGACAGGACCCGAGACAGGTGGCAGCCTCAGCTGGAGCAGGGACATGGCAGAGGCTGTGGGGAGACATTTGCGGGGTGTGACTAGTGCTGCTGGGCCTCACAAAGCTGCACCAGGGCCAAGGCGGCAAGGGGCACCTGCTGGGTGGGCAAGGGCTGGAAAGGGGTGATGCCTCTAGGGACGGTGTGSCTACCCTGCCCCTGGCCCCACAAGCCTTCCTCTGTCCATGCAGGGCGCTGCAAGGACACTCTGTCCACCATCTCGGGGCCCACCACCCAGAACACCTACGGGCGCAGTGAGGGAGCCTGGATGAAAGACCCCCTGGCGCGGGAGGAGCGCATTTATGTCACCAACCACTACTATGGGAACACGCTGGTGGAGTTCAGGAACCTCGACAATTTCAAGCAAGGTGGGTTTGYACCATCTCTAATGCCACCATTCAGCTGATCCTCATCCCAGGATATGCATCCTGGGATGCATATCCCAGGGATAGCATCCTCTTTCCCAGGGATGCTGCATTGTGGGGGAGGTGATCTGCCTGGGGACCCTCCCCTCCTGGGGATGGCATGTGGGGCTCAGACACGGCCCAGGTCAGGGTGTGGCTGGTGCGTGGGGAGGGAGTGTAGGCAGAGCTGGGGGCAGAGGGTGCTGATGGCATGGCCACCAACCCACAGCAAAGGGAGGGTCTCATCCGTTGGATGTCTGTGCCCTGCAGGTCGCTGGAGCAACTCCTACAAGCTGCCCTACAGCTGGATCGGGACGGGGCACGTTGTCTACAATGGTTCCTTCTACTACAACCGGGCCTTCACGCGCAACATCATCAAGTACGACCTGAAGCAGCGTTACGTGGCCGCCTGGGCCATGCTGCACGATGTGGCCTACGAGGAGTCCACCCCGTGGCGGTGGCGAGGCCACTCGGATGTGGACTTTGCTGTGGATGAGAACGGCCTGTGGGTCATCTACCCGGCCATCAGCTACGAGGGCTTCAACCAGGAGGTGATCGTGCTGAGCAAGCTCAACGCAGCCGACCTCAGCACCCAAAAGGAGACCACGTGGCGGACGGGGCTGCGGAAAAACTTCTACGGGAACTGCTTTGTCATCTGTGGGGTCCTGTACGCGGTCGACAGCTACAACAAGAGGAAYGCCAACATCTCTTACGCCTTCGACACGCACACCAACACGCAGATCATCCCCAGGCTGCTCTTTGAGAACGAGTATGCCTACACCACGCAGATAGACTATAACCCCAAGGACCGCCTGCTCTACGCCTGGGACAATGGCCACCAAGTCACCTACCACGTCATCTTTGCCTACTGAGACCCCCCACCACAGTGGGGCACTGCGAGCCAGGGGCCACCAGCACCTTTTATTATTATTTTTATTGTTATTATTGTTATTTTGTACAAATTGAAGAGTAAATGATGGGTTTTGTTTCAAGCTGGTTTTTTTTATGGTGGATTGTAGATCGATCCCCAGGCCAGAACCACCCCCTTTGTCTTTGCTGTATCCTTGCTTCTGATTTTCCTTCCCAGGGGAAGGAGGTTCTGCTTTGGAAGGGCAGCCCCAGCTCTCCTGTCCAGGAAGGAGGAGGTGGCTCAGACGTGGTCCTCCCGACGATGTTTTCAGCTAAAGATGATCAGCAAGACACGCCGAAGCAGTGCAAAGCTGCACACACCAGGTCCCAGCGGGATGCTGCTGCCTGCCTGTCCTGGTGGAGGACCTGCATGTCCCATGGGAATGTCCCGTCTCTCAGGACCATCTTCCCAGCCGACAGCCAGCAGGCCCTTTGGAGATCCTGCTGTACAATGGGGCTGCGAGCACAGCTCCAGCAGCCCCTGGTGCTGGTACTCACGCTGAGGACTGTCCCCTCCAGCCRGGGCTCTGCTCTTTGCAGCCCGCCCCGGACTCACGCCTGGAGGGAGCTGGCGGCAGGCGGGAGGGGGATGCTGTAAATACGTGTAGATGGCTTTTGTTTGTTCATTTTGTAACCCAGAGTAGTCCCCCTTGGCATTTGCTGGGTGAAGGCTCTGCCCAGCTGGGCGCTGGGCTGCTTAGGCAGGGGCTGGGGAGCCCTGGGGGCTGGTGGAGCCCTCGCTGTGCCACTCTGTCTCCTTCATTCCCTCTCGTGTCCATCCATGCCTGTCCTGCTCCTGCACCATCAGGATCCCTTCACAGAGGCACAGCCCTTGCCCTCCTGCCCACCAGCATCTTGTATTTACCTGCTGTCAGTAATAAAGGATCCAGTACCTTCGCAGCTGTTTGGGGCTTTCTTTGGCTCTGCTTCACCCTCTGCATGCATGGAAATGCACAGGGCTRTTTTGGGTGGGTTTTGGGAGAGCCAGTTTCCACCCTAGCTGGGACTAAACCCCAGAGGGCTTTAGGTTGCTTAGGACTGGCCCCGGGGCMGGGTGACATGGCCATGTCCAGCCCTGAGAAGAGCTTGTCTCTGTGATAGCTGCAGTCCTTGGGTCACTCAGGCTGCAGTAAGACCCTTGTAGGCTCYTCTTTGGCAGGCTCGGGGTAAGCAGCTCATGTAGGATGCCCCCKCTCCAGCAGCAGGAGAGGGACATGGTGGATGTGCCATGGGCAGTGCCAACATTGGGCTGAGCAGAGCTGCACTGCAGCCCAAGAGCTGRCAGACACGGGGCACGTGTTGCAGTAATTGGCCAAAGGAAAAAGTATAAAGAAGCACAGTAATAATGAATATTAATAATAAATAAAAGAAGGATTTTATTGCCTTCAGTACTAGGGACACAGAGAACAGAATTACACAGGATGAGAGATGCTCTCCACCACCAGAGCCCAGGGGAACTAGCTGAGGATGTGGTGCCACAGCAGTGCCGAGCAGCAGCCCTTCCCAAGGTGCCAGGCTGTGCCAAGCCCAGCTGCCACCTCCGGTCCCGTCCCCAGCTCCATGGCAGCAAATGCCCCCGAGAGCAGCCAGCCTCCCCTGCCCATGGCTGCGGGGGAGCCGCGTGCCTCGGGCTGGGGCACCGCTGGGGTTTTTATTTTTGACTATTGTGTGAGCTGGCCCACAGTCAGGTGGGGCCGGGGCCAGGAAAATGAACCGGTGCAAGGAGCGCAGCCAAASCCAGGCGAGCCCGGCTGCTTCCCAGCACTGCGAGCATCCACAGGACAGGGGGCCTGCGCAGCCTGCGCCGAGGACGTGGCAAAGGACAAAGCTTTTCCATGGTGTTGCAAGGCACATACTTCACAGGGGTGTATTGCTCCTCATCCTCCTCCTCACTGCCCCTGGAGCTGTTTGTCTTGCTGCAGGATCAACCTGTATTTCCTAACAGCCACACACATACACGAATAGTAATAATAATAATAATTAAAAACCCCACGTGAGCCAGTCAGTGCTCAGACCATGAAGGAAAGGCTGGCAAACTAAAGCCCATCATCTTCTGTGCGAACTGCAAGGGGGAAAAAATAATGTAACAACATGCTGAAGTCATTATGCAAGGCTGATGCTCTGCTGGCGGCTCATCCCAGCTGAGCACCAGTGTGCTGGAGCTCCTGRGCTCAGCTCTGGCCTGGGGCTCGGCTCACAAACCTGGATCAGTGAGCAGAGCTCCACAGATGCTTGGGAATGGCAGCACTTGGCTGCACTCAGTGTTTGGAGCAAGTGGCATGTTCCCCCACTGCCTGTGGGGTGGCTGTCAGTGTTGGCGAGGCAGAGATGGGTGTGTGGGGCTGAGTGTGCATGACCTGTGTGTGGCTTCAGGAGAAGGTGCTGTGGCTGTGTCCCATGGAATTGAAGCAGCCCCTCTGCCCCAGCAGGGCCAGTGCTGCTCCAMGGGCTGTTGTTAGCAGTGAAAAGTATTAAATAGCACTCACAAAAAACCCACGAAAACAAAAACCAGGAAGAAAAGAAAAAAAACCAAACTCAATCCCCCAAACTTTACAAATGCATCTGCTGCCTGAGATCACTTCCCTTGGGCCAAGCCTTCAGTGGTGCAGCCCATGGGCTGGGGAAGGCAGCAGGGGAGTCCTGGAGAGCCAGGTAAGTGTGGGGTGRGCAGTGCCTCAGTGCTCTGCCCATAGTGCTTCAGTGCTAAGTGCAGGGTCCCACCACCCTCCTGGGCACTGGGGCTGGGCTGCCCCTCCGCACTGCTGCATCCCAGGGAGACAGGGATTTGGGCAGGGATTGAGGAGCAGTGGGGTTGGCTGGTCAGGCCCAGCACCTGCAGCTGGGAGCTGCACACTGCTCCCTSCTGCTGCCTGTGCATGCTGCAGGGACAGGCCTGATCTGTGTCCACTGCCATGTCTCTGGCGGGACCCCAGGGCTCAGCACCCCACCGCAGGCAGCCTAACAGGGACCAAAATGAAAAACAACCCACAATTCTGGACAGTGCATAAGTAGCAAGGATGGCCCGTGTCCCCCCATGCTGCATTGGGCCCCCAGGACTTTCCCTGGCGAGGGGCCAGCTGAGCTGCACAACCCCGGGCAGGATGCAGCCATGGAGTAGGGTCAGGCACAGGAACGGGCTGAAGGGRACTGTCCCTGCTGTGTCCATGTGCCAGGAGCTGCAGGGCCCTGCAGGGCTGGCGGCAGGACCTGCTGCATGCCGGGTGCTCGCTCTCCTGTGCGCTGTCACAAGAGCTACTGCAGGGACTTGACAATGGTCCTCAGGGCGTGGGGMGTCTCTGGGACGGAGGGGGAGGAGCTGTAGAAGGTGTCGGTGTGATTCCTGCGCTGCTGTCGGAGGTAAGGAGGGACTGAGGAACTTTTGATGTGGAGGATCCTGGTGTCCATCACTTCGCAGTCAATCTGCATCATCACCTCGTAGTCCTGCCCATTGATCACGTTGTCTGCAAAAGTAAGGGTAAAAAAAAAAGGTCAGAGTTAGCCCTGCAAGCCAGTGATCCAATAACACTAAAATCAGAGCTTCCCGGACCTTCTTCTGTCTGGAGCAGGAGCTGCAGTGGGGGAGCTCCCTTTTTGCAGCTGCACACATGGAGCTCCATCTTGTACAGCGGAGCCCCAGACTGCTCGAGACACCTCAAAGAGCCCAGACCTCACTTAGCATGTGCAGTCACACCTCGAAATTAATGTCTTCTATTTCCCCTTCTTCATCTGCACATAATTACCGACAGAGTTTGCACTGTGTAACATTTATTACAGAACTGTTGCTCTTGAGCCATAAAATATGGGAGTGATTGAAGATAAGGTTTATTTAAGAAAGCTGAATGTTTCACTTTCTGTAACCCTCTTGACACTGAGGATCTTGAGGAATTTCTTCACCAGTTTATTAATAAAAGAAGCCAAAATGTGATCTCTTGAAAGAATTAACTGTGCCTCATTCCTGTCCTGACCTGGCTGTTGTACTTGAGTGATGTGACACTGGGCAAGGCCACTCCCCTGAGAGACCCCTGGCCACAGGGAGACCCAGATCAGCACTGGGAGCCCTGGTGTGGCCCCAGGTCCGGCACATCTGCTGCCACAGGAGCTCCTGGGCTTACAGGCTGTGCACATGGCTAGCATCTGCTGCCTGGATTTAAAGGTGGGAGACTACTCCCTRCACAGACAGTGTGCCCAGGAATGCAAGAGCTGAGATCGGATTTCCAGGCACGACCAATCCTTTCAGAGTCAGAAGACTGCCATTGGCAGGGTTTCCTTTCTGTGCTAAGGAGGATGGAAGATCACCTAATGGAAAGCGTATGGACTGCAGGAATGCAATATACATTACTAATTTTTACTGTTTTCCTGGATTAACTCTGACTCTGGATGACAGCTGACAACCGTGGCCGGACCCTCTTGTACCCCACGCCACCTGTAGAAGCCATTAGATCAGCTATGTCTGGTATAGTAATGAAAAGCAGGAGCAAACCCTTGCTAAGGGSGCTGAGAGCCTGCAAGGGAAATCAAAGCTCCCACCTGCAAGAAATGGAGTGGAAAAAGCTCTGTATGTGCCACCGAGAGACCGAAGGCAGGAGCAGCTGTGCAAATGCTGTGCCAATGACCCAGCACCCCGGACAAGCACCTCGTCCCTCCTGGATGCTGCGCTGCTGAAAAAGCCCTGCTGTGACTTGAGGTGCCATGTCCCCAGCTGGAACGCTTTGGAGGCCATCCCTGCAGGTCACCCTTCCTCTCTGCCTTTGGATGTGCTCTTGGCTCCCACCAACAGGCTCAGGACCAGTGGGGTATGAGGGGAGGCTGAGGGCAAAGAGCCTGGAGGCAGCAAACAGATGGGCTCCCTGTGACACAGCAAGCTGGAAACGCAGCTCCTCAGCTCTCACGCTGCAGTTGACGGGACTCCAGCTATGTGAGAAACAGTGCTCCAAAGCCACAAGTGGGTGAGGTGGGCTGGGACTGTGGCCAGGGCCAGGAAAAYCTCTTGGAAAGGCAGGAGTTTCCCTGACTGCCCGCAGCAGCCAGCACAGAGGGCTATCATTAGGTTCCTGGGCATTGCACAAGACAAGAGAACAGCAATCCCAAGGGCTGCCCATGCAAGGGAGGGAGCTGTGCTTTGTGGGTGGCACTGGGGAGCATGGAACTAGATCAATCCGTTCTGGCCAGCTGAGATCCTGCCTCCCCCAGTGCTGACACAGCTCCCTGGCAACAAAGTGTGCCAAAATTAAGCCACAGCTCTGCTGCCCCATGGCAAGGGGGGCTGTGTCTTCTGAGCCCACCAGAGCCAAGAGAGCTGGGAGGAATYGTGCTCACTATGAGCCTCTCTGGCCAGCAGGCACACAGGGGATACACATCCCACACTCAGACACTCACCAAAAATACCCAAATCCTGCCCTGGGCCTGTGAATTAGACCAGGAGTTAGAGGTGAGTTTGAAGTCAGCATCTGATTCTTTCCCTTTTTGGGTTGRAGGTACTGAACTGCTGCAGAAAGCCTGTGCAAAGGGTTAGATCTCACAGGAATGATGGCAGTAGCAGGAATGGCTCARTGCCCACTGCACAGGCATTTCCAGCCTTTCTCATTCCCATCAGCTCCAAACTGACACAGAAGAGGAGGTGGGATGTTCCCCAAAGCCAGCTTGGTGCTGCTGCCAGGCACCTGGACCAGCTTTGTTGGAWGGAAGGGTCTGAAAGCTGRCCCAGCCCAGCCCAGGGAGGGGCTGATGCTCTGTGAACACCCACGAGATGGTCTCAGCACAGCAACAGGCAAACGTGACCTGAGCACAGCTGGCACAATCCCCTGCTTGGGAAGACCAGCTCACTGTCATTGCAAAAAAYGATTCCACGTGGCTCCATCCCGAGMTCAAGGCCATTAAACTGCTTCATGATCTGGATGAGGAATAGAGAGCACACTTGTAAGATTTCTGGAAGATGCTAAACTGGACAGATTTCAACCACCTTGGAGTGGCTAGATTGGATGAGACTGCARTTTTGATAAAAGGGAGAAGCTGTCCAAAATCTTCAGAATGCATTTCAACCACRGCCAGAGCTGGAAAAGATGAGTAAAAATGAGGCTGGGCAGAAGTACTGCAGAAAAACCTTAAGGACTGCAGAGGATCACTGTGGATAAGCCAGCAGAATGACAGCACTAGAAACAACAGTGCTGAACTGTTGTTCAGCAACATATTTAACTTTGACCAAGTTTCTTGTGATAATGAAATACAAGCCTTGGATGAAAGTGCCTTGGGGAGATGAGAGGATCTCCATGACTGAGAATTTTTAAGAAAAGCCTGGATGACCTTTCCTTAAATCTGCCCATCAAGCCCTTGGGTACCTGACCCTTGCTCCACACAGTCACTTGCAGTTGCTCCTGCTCCCTCTGACCCTGCCCTGCTCACAAATGCAGCTGTTGGCAGCATCTTCCCAAAACTCAGCAGCTGGAGTTGTGGGTTCTCCACTGGCTTCCATCATCTGATCCGCAGAACAAGCAAACTATTTTGCCTGCTAATTCCTGCATCAGATCATTTAAAAATGGCCCTGTCAGGCTTTCCCTCTGTCCTCTCCCATGGGGCCATCCAGCAGTACCAACACGTGGGAGGCACCAGCGGGGCACAGGGTGGGTTTCCAGAGGGGCTGTGCCCAGGGCTGTGTGGGGCTGTCCCTTGGAGGGGTCAGTGTGTGTGAGCAGTGCTCAGGCCAGCCTCTAGTGCCCTGTCCAGCCAGACCCCACCCCTCCCAGGGAGACCCAGGTAGCAGGGTGTGTGTGAAACAGGACTGACAGTCCCAGGCTGCTGCCTGCTGCTCGTGTGCTGGCTGGAAGGTCTGCACTGCCAATGTGCATTACACAGAGCTGCCCAACAGCCCAGAGCAACACTGACACTGAGTGATTTCTGAAGTTTATTGTCTTGAATTACCTATGACTGATGGCTTGTGGGATTACGTAAGTGAAAACACAGGAACGGATCTCCTGTAGAGGTGTCTGGGTTTATAAATAGATTTATTGCTCCTCTTTGAAGTTCAGAACATTCAGTTTCTCACACAGGGCAGACTCAGGCTTAGAAGCCATCCTTGCTGGGCCAAGAGCCTGCGCTGCAGTTAATTATTTGTGAACAGGTTTAAAAGCCATGCTTCAGATGATTGACTATTTCAAATTAATGGCGAAGGTAATTGTGCCAAGAGTCGCTGCTCTGACTGCACTTTCCCAAAGAGCCTCGCTGGCTCTTGTGGGCTGTACCAAATTCCCAGCACGAGCTTGGTCCAGTGAACAGAAACCAAATTCCCAGTGCTGCTCTCCCCCTAAAAACAAACATGTTGCAAGATCCAACAGATGAAAGCTGAAGTCTGAGGTCCAAACCAAAACCAAATATGGCTGAGGGTATTAACTACTGTTACAAATTACTGAGGATGAGGGAAGATTGTCTTCATACTTGAAGCACTAGATTTTCAAAACTGTCTTACTGGAAAGGCCATAAACCCAAAGCGCTCCTTCTCCCCTGAGTAGCACTGACATCCATCAATCAGCTGACTGTTGAAATGTCTGTCTGTGAGATTAAGCACCTGCTTATATAGGAGATGCTGTCTCTGAGAAAGGCAGAAGACAGGCGAGGGCTTGAAAGGCAGGCAAGGAAACATTTGTTCTGCACTCAGAACAAAGGGTGATGTCAGCTGTCTCTCTACACCTCAACTTTACACATATCATCAGGCTGTTTGGCCCTACGGACATATCTATCAGAGGATGTCATTGTGATTATTTATCCTTTCCTAGTTACATACATCTTCCCCAAAAAGCTCTGCTGCATCAAAATTTTCATTGTGAAAACGGGTGTCTGCAGAGAAACTGAAGCAGAACTCCCCTGAAAGGCCACCTGAGCTCGCTGGACTGTAACCTAGCAGGATGGAAAAGCTCCACAGCTTTCTGTGGAAGGTGCACTCATGCCATAGCTACATTTATAGAGCCTTATTCTACCCGAACAGCCATGAATTCTACCTTGCTCTGAGCAATGTCACAGTGGATTACCAAAACAATATCCTGTGGGACCAATACTGTCTCATCAGTGACATCCTCAGTCCTGTGACTCTTTTCTAATGCCCCCATTGCCTTTGGAGCAGATAACCCATGTACATACTGGCTGGTTTCTTGGTGGGTGACTTGTGAAATGCTCAGAACCTGCCTGGCTCTGTATCTGCTGCGCTCACTGAACATACACTTAAGGTACTATCAGCTACGGAGATCTGGACTACATGTTCTCGCTCCTGCTAAGGAACAGAGAGAAATCCCTTGTCCCACCCTTACTTTAACTACCTTTGTCAGTAAGGCTAGAGAATCATCCCCTCCTCGTGGACAACAGCAGAGGGTGAATTTGCTATCCATGGAACCAGTTTAATTGATGTCAGAATAGGAGCCAGCGAATCATCCCCGTGTAAGGTGATCCAAACCCACCAACTCTTGTAAAGCCATCT